TATATATATGTACCTTTTTGTTTTTCATTTAATCTTACACATTGCCATTATGTGAAATAAGAAATAACAGACGGCAGAAGAACCCTCTTCCCTATCTTTGATGGTGGCAACGACGACGACGACGACATCATACAACAGTTTGAGGCGACTCAGCAATACGGAAGGGAATGGGCAGAAAAAAAAAAAAAAAGAGAAAAAATAACCACATCAGAGCACAACATTGCATCAAAATCTTTAGCATAATTCTTATTTCTTCTACGTATGTTCTTTATAATTGTTTGTATACAGTTTTTTCCCATTTTTCTATTTAAAAGTTTGAAATAAAGAGAAAAAAAAGTTTGGATTTATAATAGAGAGGAAAAAAAAAAGAGGTAAAAAAAGTGATGACAAAAGTCTTCAGTGGTGATCATCGGATGGCCTGTTGTACGCACTGGTTCACTCACACAGACAAATAAAAATGCTTGATTCCTTCTCGTCTTCGGCTCATATATTTTCGAAAAGATTTTTCACGAAAATATTTTTGTGCCAAGTAGGCAGTATTAACGGCAATATAGCTGAATACCATTTGCACAACAATCACTAGCAGCAACAGCAACAGATACCATAAACGATTGGATTCTACAAAAAAAAAAAAAAGCAGAAGACAATGATTTTAGTCGGTTTCATGAACAAATAATACTTGTGATGCTGGTGATGACAATTGTTAACAGATATCTTCAAAAACTAAAAAAACTGAAAATAAACTTTTTGAAAAGAAAAAGTAAGGAAGAAAACAAACGAGAAGAATAGGATTAAAAAGAAAAAAAAAGCTTTCTTTTGAAATATTGACATAAGTGAATTAAAATTAAAATTTCATTTTTCATCGTCTCTGTTTTGCAAAAATGTTAAAACAAAAAAAGCTTTAAAATCAAACAACAAATTTAAGAAACAGGAAAAAAAAGCAACCTGTCATAAGTCGAAATCGCCAACTGAGAGCTGCAAAAAGTTTTCTTCTACTTTTTGGACCACATACAAAAAAACCAACTATTAATAACAATAACACAGTGGAAAAAACAGCATCGAAACCCTTAAAATAAAAATGTGTCAACCATACTGCATAGTTAAATTTTTTTTGTGTGTTTTTTGACGTTGATTGAAACCAAAATTGATGGATCAAAGGTAAAACAGAACATGTTTATTTTCTTACAAGTAACAACATTATATATCTATTCTATGGTATTTCATAGCTTTCATCATTGTTGCTGTAATTTGTTGACAAAAGCCTAATGAACATCTTTTTTTACCCACTCTCCATAATTATTCGTATGCCCTTCTATAATACCCCATTTGACGAAACGACAAAGGAAAGAGAGAAGGATAAAAAGACAGACGAAACGACAGAGGAAAGAGAGAAGGATAAAAAGAACACCGGTATATGCCTAAATTTTTTCTTCCTTCTTTCCAGATTATTTAAACCTTTAATCAACAGTGTAGAATAGCTAAGAGTTTTAGAAAAAAATTGCACCTTTTCTGGTTTCCTTAATTCTTTGGGAAAAAAAACAAGATGTATAGCTCAACAATCAGATTTGCGGCATCCGTTATTCTTTGGATACACTTTTTAGATTAACCAAGCGTTTTGTGCGATTAAGCAAAATAGGTTAACATCTGATTATTGTCCTAAGAGCCGTCTGTCGATCCTGTTATTGGCTCTTTATGAAAAAATCTTTATAATTTAAGCAAATTTTTTACTAATAAATATTCAATAATTTTTTCTTCTCTATTTGTAATCTTTAGTACCTTGGCTGCGCCCCTTTTATCGACATTTCGTCTCGACTTGCTTAAGAATTGTCGTCGATTAAATTAATTCAATTCAAATTATGGCAATATATGAAGAAATACTAATACCTTATAAAAAATATATGGCCATACAATATCTCGTCGTTGTTTCCATGTGGTAAGTAAGGCACATATAACAGTTGTCGCCGTTATGCATAGTTGCGTGATACAGAATGCATCAAAATATCCGAACTTCAATGGCAGTAACAGTTGAAAAGTTGTTGTCAGAATAATGTCGGCTAGTAGAATCGTTCGTAAACCCCACTAAAATTGCATACAAGATAAAAGGTTGTTCCACAAATCTTTTTGGTTGCATAAATTTGTTGATAGTCGACTGTTGATGTTCACTTCCAATTGTAGATTATAAAAGCTTAAAAGCTAAAGTTGAAATTTTCAACTTTTAACAGACAGTATAAATTTATTTTAAGAGGAAATTCCTAACATATTTGCTCCTTTTTCTTTTTTTTTTCTACTTGCTAACAGAAACTATACCAAAACGAAAAAGAAGAAAAAAAACCAGTTTGGGACTCACTTTTTTATACTCTTTTTCTTTCTTGCTCATTTTTTTCAGTTGATAAATTTTGACTAACTAACTGACTGACTGATTGAATTAAAAATGCCAAAAAAATGTCAGTAGCAAACTGAATATAATCACTGTCGTAGCTAAGATATATAAATAACAAAAAAAAAAAAGTTACAAGAAAATTGAATCTGAATGATCGACAAAACAAAATTTTGACACAAACATAGATAGTTCTTCACTAAAGCATAGTTTTTTTTTAAAACTGTTTGTTTACTATTACCTTCTATTACTTATAATACTGTCGTTTAAAGTTATCAAAAAGTACAAAATAAATACAGATTACGACAATTTTGTAAAAGCCGATATGATTATAATCACACAGAAATAAGCGGAAAACGAAAAGTGATACATCGACTCAGAAAAAAATTAACAAAACTTTTTCTTTTTATTTTTGTTGATAAAAGTTTCTTTGCATTTTTTTTCCTTCTGCTTTGCTTTATGCTCTAACTTTTTCAGAAGAAGAAGATTTATGAGTTGCAAAAACAAAGATCAAAAACTAAATTATAGAGATAAGAAAAAAAAAACAACATTTTTTTTTTCAGCTTTAAATCTGTTCTCAAAAATCAAAGAAAAAAAATTGCTAAATTATTGAACATTATCTTTAGTTAAAACAAAATAAAGTAAACCCCAAAAAAAACTCCCACTAATTTTGGAATTCAAAAGAAAAAAATTTACCACAATATGCAGTATACGAAAACAGCATCGATAATCTTCGCCCAAAAAGTAGTCATTGTCGTCCAGCATTCGCAACTATTTGTTGGCTAAATTATATCAGTCGACAAAAAAAAAAGTGATAATGTTACTCGTTTTTTTGTACTGATAAAAAAAATACCAACAACAACAGCAAATATCAACCAGTAATATCAATGTTTTTAATAAAGTATTTTATTCAACAGAAAAGCAACATATTTCACATCTCAACATTTTCGAAAACAACTAAGCAGTTTTAACCTCGCTAACGGTAAAAGAACTTTCAGTAGCTGTGGTCATCAAACTGTTTAAAACGGTTTTTTGCTTTTAAACATTTCCAATAAAAGTTGTGGCCAGTAAATCATAGATCTATTGTAAATTAGAAAAAAAAAAAAAAGTAGTCACAAATGGAATTTCAAAATCATTGACAACAAACGGAATTGTAAAATCAGTAATTGTAGTAAATGATCAGTTCTAGAATTATTTGACTTTTTTCACGTATAAGAAGAGGAACAACTGATCTGTCTTCAACAAATATAGGCATTCGGGTATTTGTACGATACATCTGAGATATTAAGTCTGCGTTTAAACTCTATTAAAGCTAAATTTACAGACATTGTACAAACTATAAGGTCGTTGATCACCATCAGCCCCCCTAAGGCTCAGTGTTTGACATAAAAACAGTTGGCCATTTATGCTTGAACACTATATTTCAATTAGAAAAAAAAAGTTTGCTCTCAATTTTAAATGTGTAAAAAACAAAAGAAAAAAAGGAGGAAATAAAAATGTTTATTTAACCAAACTTTGGTTTCAAATAAAATTAATTGAATAACTGCAAAAAGTGCTCTTTTTCACTTAACACTTATTTGTCAGCATTTTTCAAAACCACTCTTCAAAACCACATTGTGTGTTTGATGTTATTCAGGTGGTAGTAAATTTATCAATAAAACTAATTTAACTGAAACAAAATAAGACATCAGAAAAAATACTGTTCAAAATAATCTATCAATGAGTGCTAATAATTATTTACC